GTGTGTGTGTGTGTGTGTGTGTGTGTGTGTGTGTGTGTGTGTGTGTGTGTGTGTGTGTGTGTGTGTGTGTGTGTGAATGTGTATGTTATGTTAGTGTGTGTGAAAGTTTGAATTATAATTGTTATCAACAACATATTAACTAATATTTATTTTTGATAATTAATATTTATTGATTAATATTACGAAGGTATAGTGAGAAGACTTTCAGTTACATCATAATAAAATGTTTAAGCCAAATTACTATCTGTTCCTTGCATTGGTATTTCGTTAGTGGATATATTTCTAGTAAATTATTTACTTTGTTATACGTATATGGGCCCAAAAAGTGAGCGAAACGCTTTCCAAAGGAAGCTTTAATAGGGCCGCGTCTAATGACTACATCTTTCCTTCGATTCGTTTTGTAGTATGGGTCGTAGGTCATGTAAGAATGCTGCCGAAGGAGATTATGCAAGATGTAAATTTGGCGGACAGTGAGAACATCACAAAATTTATATAATTCCGATGTGGGGAACAGGAATGGGCGAAAAGTAGCCACTTTTAAAACGGCTCTTTGAGCTCTTTCCAAAATTAGGAGATTCTGTTTTGATGCGCCTCCCCAGATATTGATACTGTAAGATATAAGAGCCCTATAAACAAGTTTTAGAATTTTGGGAATTGCAATACATCGTAGTTTAAAAAAAAAAATACTTTTCTCACTCTTGCAGCGAGTTTGGTTATGTGCGAGTTAAAAGTTAAAAGCTTAGGTGTTTATCGATGGTTACACCAAGATACTTCATCTCTGGTACTTCTTCCAAGATGGAACAAGAGCAACTCTGAGAATAAGGATCGAGACAGGAATGAGGAGTTATATTGACACTGGGGGATGGACGATTTATGTTGCGTATGCTAAAAGCTATATATTTAGTCTTGTTAGTATTAAGGCTGAGAGAGTTGTAATTAAGCCAGCCCATAACCTTGTGAACGTCTAGTTGAGCATACTTGAAAGCCTCATCCCAAGTATCTCCTGTGAAAGTCAGTGCAGTGTCGTCTGCAAATGCTATGATTTTGCCGTTAGTAAGGACCATATGACAGAGTTCGTTGATAAACGACAGGAAGAGCGTCGGACCCAGCACACTACCCTGAGGGATACCATAAGTGACAGGTTGTTCGTCACTCAACACGTTGCCCAGTTTTACTACTTGAACTCTGTCCGTTAGATAATTTTGAAAAAGCTTGAAATGTGTTCCTCTTATTCCCAGATTTTCCAGTTTACTCATACGTCTTCTATGACCATGGGATGTATTCTAAAACTTTAATTTCCAATGTGGCCTACCCAAATATATTTATAAAATATGCCTTGAATTGAACTTCAACCTATAGACAAGAACATTCACAGCAACTACATGTTCCGAACAAAATATTATCACTAGTTATAATGTTTTGTTATACTGTTGAATTTTTGTCTAATATTGAGTTAAACACTCGATGGTAGTTATTTAAAGAAAAAACAAATTAATTATAAGGAAAAAAATGTCGAGTTGTTGAAATATCTTGTACTTTCTCTTGCGTAAAGGTAAACGACTCTGCGCTTTGAGTTGAGCCTTAGACCATGCAGCCTAGTCAAGTATAGGTATCGTTGAGCCTAGTCTTTTTTAATATTTTTTAAATTAATAAGTAACCTTAGTAACTGTTACAATCATATTATACCTACTTACTCTGTTATTGTGCAGTTAAAACGCTCTGTTGCTTATTAATTTATGATTTATGTTTTGTCTTGTTTTAACACGCGTGATTACATGGTTGTAAAATGAAATGGACAGTGTGAAATTTTGTATAGATTCACGATTACCAAAAATTATAATGTGCAAATTAATCAAATACCACAACATTACTAAAATTAGTAAATAAAACTTTAAATTTATATTCACACAATTAGTCAAATAGCGAAACGTGAGCAACACACCGATGTAAATTAATTTTCAAAGAGGACCGCATCTGCGCCCGCCATCTTGAATGTTTGACAACCAACTAAATGATGTGTAGCGTCTTCACCGCACATCAGCGAAACACAGCGTGTGTATGAAACGTCGCATCTAGTACGCTAGTATATAGATATCGTTGCCTCAAACGTAATTAAGTCTGCTGGGGCATATCCGCTTCAGAATGATTCACTACAATGTTTAATCACGACCCCAGTATAGCAAGAAATTTTGGCGACTTACCAAGCAGAAGGTACCCAACGCAAGGCATCATGCGAAAGATTTCCACAGCATCCTGGAAGGAGCCACCTGATGCCGTCTGCCCCATGTTAATTAGCTCCAACCATGTAACCACGAACAAATTCACGAACTCAAACCAGTAGAAGACGTTCCACAGAAACCTGATACAGAGAAATTTTGAATGCATTAACTAAATATAGAATAGAAACCATTTATTACAAAACGCCACAACACAAAAATACGCAGTAGGAAACTTGAAAAAAGACAAAGCTAAATTAAAAGAAAAAGAAAATGGAATAGAATAGAATATGTTTAGAATAACAAAAAAAAGAAATAAAAATAAAATATTAGTAATAAGTAATGAAATAGGCAAGCAAGCATGCTTCATAACTTCTTTAACCGATAGCTTTTATACGCTTAAATAGGAGGGTTGTGTCAAATGTCACATATTCAACTGCCTCCGTGGCCGAATGGTTACCATGTTGGATTGCCACGCAAGAGGTCCCAGGTTCGATTCCCGGGCCGGGAGAAATATTTATATGGCCTACATTTATTTCTCTCGTGAGTTTGGGTATAATTTGTAGTTGTCTATATGTGTGTCCCATGGCACCCGCAACACAGGGTTTTCTAGTGCGGGGTTATGTTGAGTGTGTGCGTTATTATATAATTAAGTCTATTGAATGTCAGGATATTGTGAAACATCAAAAACTCGTTTAAAACCAAAAATGAAGATCTGCAACAAGCATATAGAAAAATTCGTAAGATGCGCTGGTTCGTTCGGTGGCTTAGTTGGCATAGCGTCTGGCACGGTTTGCTAGAAAACGTTGGTTCCAATTCAAACGGATCGTAGAATTTTTTCTAAGTGTTCGATCTTTGCATTAATAATTGTTTCATGTAGCGCATTTTTTTTTCATGTGATAAAAACTGCTTTTGACAATTTTAACATATGATGACGTCATGTGGCTTTATTATACGAAGGGTATCTACTTTGGTTGGTTTTTGTTTGGACGCTATGTAAGATCGGGTGCCGATGTCGCCACTTTTTAGCTTGTGTGCAATTCAAACTTTACACTCTATTATCTACTACCATAACTTAAAGATTTTGATTGGATAGGGCTTAAAACGTGAAAACGACGTAAAACAATTTTATAATTTAACAAAATTAATCTTACAGGCACTTGAATAAGAGTTATATTACAATATTTCATCCTGGTCCATCCATTCACCAATAGGTGGCGTTTTAGTAGAAATACTACTAATATATAATAGCTAACTATTACACGTTAGATGGCGCTGAAACTCAATTTTCGTTACACTAAGAACTCACAGAGCGGTTGTTCACCCGCGTCTGCCGCGGGACCGCGGCATCTGTAGAATGTAACAGTTAAGTATGTAAAATTAGTAGCACATTTCACAGCGCGTTTTACGCCTGTAGTGGTGACGGTTGTTCGCGGTTGCCGCGGCAGGGTTACTAGTAGAACCGCGCAAGACGCGATGACCTGCGCGCTTGGCGCGACTTGCAATTAACTCCCACTAACTTCGCGGTCTGTTCCGCAATCGCAACGGTTTCGTGCCCGCAACCGCGGCAGCTACGTGCCCGCAACCGCGGCAGCTACGTGCCCGCACAAACTTGCAAGGTCGTGACTATTGAAATAAAACCGCTGTCTAGCAGCACCGGCGGGCGCGGATGGGAACCGCTCCGTGAATTGTTAACCTCATTAACCTTAAACTGACGCTACTCAACGAGTGATGTGCTACCTAATCGATAGTTGGAAACCATGTGGCTGTTTTTAATATTAAAAAAAAAAATTCCATTTTTCATACTATATCTACACTGGTACTGGTGTATTATTACATTAATATATTAATATAAATTATTATTAATTTCTTAATGGCGGCCACTAGGCTTGGACCAGTGTCAGTTTTAAAAGAATAATATAAAAAATATGGCGATCGTCGCCAGTGTCAATTTTCCATTATACGTTACCACGGGTTGGTGAAGCTGTCATTGTCAAGAGTAAACTCGAACCATCAACGAATTTAATAAATTAAATTATGTTGTTTTTTATGAAGGATTTATGTAATTTTCTATAATTGTTTCTAATTTATTTTGCAAGCACAAGTAAAATAAAGCCGAGTTTATTTTATTTATTTTTTAAATGCATTTGCTATTGAAATTGAAACAAAGTCAGAAATAGTAATAAG